CCGCAGTTTGTCAGGTCTTTTCCGAAGTCAAGGCAGTTCCTCATGAGAGGGCCTCTGGTGCCAGTTTTACTGATAACAGTTTTGCTTGGAGCCCAGCCCACCTGGCCTTCCCTTTGCCCCCAGGGCAGCCCCTGGAGCACTTTTGGGGAACTCTCAGGCTCCACTTTGAAACCAACAGGCTGGATAATTTTTGAGATCCCTTCCAGGTTTAAAGCTGTTCTTAAAGCTGTTCATGAGTCTCTGATTCCTGCATTTCAATTCTGTGTGACTGGAAAAAGACAGGCAGAAATGCCAACTTGAGAAGGGCTGGCTTAGAGCAGTGGTTCTTTAAGTTTTTTTCTCTAAGAATCCTTTTTTGCTCCTTATGAGGACCCCAAAGAGATTTGGCTTTGTCCCTTATCTCGATTTTTATGTCCTGTGTAATCTTGGCCTAGTAATCAGTGCCTCTGAACTTCAATTTCCTTAGAATTAGACCAGAAATACCCACCTGGAGAATGACATGAGATCATGTGAGATCAAGTAACTTGTCAACTCCAAAGGATATGTAAACATTAGTTGTTATGAGTATTATTGTTTTTATTAAGTGCAATGGGGCTGCTGTTGCCTTTTTATGTCACCTCTTCCAAGCACTAGAGAGCATCACATTCTTGCAGAAAGACTGAGTTCTGGAGTCTTCTCTTGAAGAAACTTAGAATCCTGGTTTTTCACTTACTGGTTCTATGGGGCCCTGCACAAGTCACTTAACCTCCCTGAATCATCTCAATTTCCTCGCTGACCATTAACTGAAAAAAAGGGCAACAATACAGTAGTTATTACTTTCCAGGCTTGCAGCAAGTATTTGAGATCATGTCTGTACAGTGCTGGCATCAGGTAGATACAGAAAAACAAACACATAAAACCAAGTCTGTATCTCTCCAACACACGGGCCCACTCAAATCTGGCCAGTATATCTTCCTTCTTTTCATTAAAATGTCACTGTAGAAACTCACTGATGATTCCATTTCAACCTGGTCCTTAAAAAATATTGTTTTGGCTATAGAGTGCCATTTCTTGAATCTTCCCAACTCTGAAGGTAGAAATATGTTAACAACCAGACATGAACTTAGATCTGACCCTGGGAAAGGGGCATAGGCATGGGCCAGTGTGGGAGGCATCTCAGAGAGTGGCATTAGTTCTCAGGATGAGGTTTTACCCTTCACATTCCTATAACACCCTGCAGTCAGTCCTGCTGTGTGACATGCAGACTCCCTCTGGGGACAGCTGCTGATTGGGATTCAGGCTCAGAATCCATCCCCACAAAACGAATCTGGCCTATGACTTTGAATTTCCTGGCTCCTTTGGCTCTGAATTTCCAGAATTAGAACTCTTCCTTGGGTTAGGTGCTCTTTTTCTGAATGCTTATTTTAAATCTAAGTATCTCCTGAGGGGGCAGTATTTAGCATGAGCAGCTCAGTGTGGGTAGGGTTATACCCACGGCGTGGAGTTATACCATCCCAGAACTGGAAAAGAGGTGTTGCAGGGACCTTTGACATCAAACCAACCAACCACCTTGGTTTACATGAGAGGAAACAGACCAGGGTGATGAAGTGACTTCAAGGACACACCGTGTTACTAACAGTACCAGGAGGACAACTAGGTTTCCCAACTTTAGGTTCAGTGCTATTTCCAGTTTTTATATCCATCCTTTCAATGAACCCACTATGTACCAAGAACTATGGTGAGAGCTGGAGATATTATTGTCAGGGATGAAGAGTAGACACCTTAGTCATTTCATGCTGCCTCCCTGTACACATCAGCAATATTGATTAATGAGCTCCCTTCCCTGTCTGCCAACAGTGGGGCACAGAAGAGGTAAGTGTTGATGAGAAGATACATGAAGAAGAGAGTCTCTAACATGGGCTGTACCCATCCATCCCCCCCACCCAACCTGGATAGTGAACTTGCCATGAGTGATCCCTGGGATACTGCACACAGCATGAAGATATTGGGAACTTGGAAGAAGGATGGGCAAGAAGTGCAGACCTCCCTCTGAAATCAGGCTCAGAGGGCACTGGGAGCAAACCTCTTCCTTCCCTGGAGCTGAAGGGAGGTGGAGTATAGACATGAGACTGCTTAACAGTGAGCCTGGAGATTCTGCTTCTCTGGGGAGGGAGGAACGCTGGAGGTGGAAGCTGCACTTAGCAGCTGTCTTGCACCCTCCCCACCAGTTGGGTTCAGCAACAGGGCCCTTTCCAGTCCTGCCTCCAACCCAGGGCCTCTCTCTCCTGGTCTGCTAGCTGCAAACACTCAAGCCCACTTGTTCAGCTGGCCACCAGCTTTTCAGAAAACTAGAAAGTGATTCTATGAAATTATCCTGCAAGTCATTGCCATCATTTCATTAAACTCCAAGGAAACTTTATAGCGTTCTGACAGTCACGATGAACTTAAGAGAAAAGTGAAAACTTTCTCATGAACTGATGATAATTAATGAAGGAAGTTCAAACAGTCCTGCAAAGGAAGTCAGGGGAGTGACATTTGAGGATAACAGGATCATCTCCAGTGCTAAGAAGCTATGCCATTGCAGAGCTAAGTCCCTCGGGGACTCAACCCCAGCACCAGTGATAACCCTGCCTCTCTTTCTTGGAGCTGAGGTCCATCCTGGGGCTGGGTATGGGGAGCATCCATATGGGCCACGCTTCTTTAACTGCCTGCCATGTTTCTGGCTGCCAGGATGCCTGGCCACTCAGTCTTCTCACCTGCATCTCTCACAGCCACATGTTCAGTGGGTTATGGTCCAAGAGGTTCTCAAAGGCACTGCACACAGGGTAACTTGACCTGACCTGACCTGGTAGGGCATTACAGTCACTTCTCTGATCTACTCTCCAGAAAGCCTCTGGCAAAGGCAAATTATATACTATACAATATTCTCTCTGCTTTTGTGAATTTTTAAAGTATATTTTATTGATGGTGCTATTGCAGTTGTACCATTTTTCCCTCCCCTTTATTCCCCTCACCCTGCAACCCACCTCCCACTAGCATTCCCCCTCCCTTAGTGCATGTCCATGGTCATATATATAAGTTCTTTGGCTTTTCTATTTCCTATACTATTCTTAACCCTCCCCTGTCTATTTTGTACCTACCATTTATGCTTCTTATTCCCTGTGCCTTTTCCCCACTTCTCCTCCCTCCTTCTGCCCTCCCTCTGATAACCCTCATGTGATCGCCATTTTTGTGATTCTCTTCCTGTTCTAGTTGTTTGCTTAGTTTGTTTTTGCTTTTGGTTTATTTTTTAGGTTCAGTTGTTGATGGTTGTGAGTTTGTTGTCATTTTACTGTTCATAGTTTTGGTCATCTTCCTTTTCTTAGACAAGTCCCTTTAACTTTTTATATAATAAAGGCTTGGTGATGAACTCCTTTAACTTGGCCTTATCTAGGAAGCACTTTATCTGTCCTCCCATTCTAAATGATAGCTTTTCTGGATAGAGTAATCTTGGATGTAGGTCCTTGACTTTCATGACTTCAAATACTTCTTTCCAGCCCCTTCTTGCCTGCAAGATTTCTTTTGAGAAAACAACCAGTAGATTTATGGGAACTCCTTTGTAGGTAACTGTTTCCTTTTCTCTTGGTGCTTTTAAGATTCTCTCCTTATCTTGAATCTTGGGTAATGTAATTACGTTGTGCTTTGGTGTGCGCTTCCTTGGGTCCAACTTCTTTGGACTCTCTGAGGTTCCTGGACTTCCTGGAAGTCTGTTTTCCTCTGCCAGATTGGGTAAGTTCTCCTTCATTATTTTTTCAAATAAGCTTTCAATTTCTTGCTCTTCCTCTTCTCCTTCTGGCACCCCTATGATTTGAATGTTGGGATGTTTAAAGATGTCCTGGAGGTTCCTAAGCCTCTCCTCATATTTTTGAATTCTTGTTTATTCATTTTGTTCTGGTTAAATGTTTATTTCTTCCTTCTGCGTCAAATCATTGATTTGAGTCCTGCTTTCCTTCCCTTTACTGTTGGCTCCTTGTATATTTTTCTTTATTTCATTTTGCATAGCCTTCAGTTCTTCCTCTATTATGTGACCATACTCAACCAATTCTGTGAGAATCCTGATTACCAGTGTTTTGAACTCTGCATCTGATAGGTGGATTATCTCCTTGTCACTTAGTTCTATTTTTAAAGTTTTGACCTGTTCATTAATTTGGGCCATATTTCTTTGTCTTGGTGTACCTGTTATGTAGTAAGGGGCAGAGCCTTAGGTATTCACCAGGGCAGGGCAGCCCATGTTGCTGCATTGTGGTACTGTATGTGGGAGAGGGGTCCAAGAAGGAACAGTATTGCTTTCTTGGCTCTCAGTCACTTCCCATAAGAAAACTGGGCCCTTCTGGTGCTGATTCCTGGGTGGGTGGGTTTGTTTAAATTCTAGGACCCTGTGGGTCTCTCCAATGAACTCTCCTGTGAGGCTGGGAGCTTCTCCCACCACCGCAACCCCTACCTCTGGAAGTTTTTACAGCCAGAGGTTTTTAGGCATTCTTTTCCTGCACTAGAACCCTGGGTTGTGCAGTCTGTCTTGCTCCCCAGTTGTTCCTCCCAGTTTATCCACATGCAAATGGGGGACCACCTGGTCCTCCAGCCACTGCCTTGCCACAAGTCCTCTGTGCCTTGGCTGCCTGTCCCTGTCCCATCTACCAGTCTGAATGAATGTTTCTTCTTTAACTCCTTGGTTGTCAGACTTCTATACAGTTTGATTTTCTGGAAGTTCTGGTTGTTTTGTTTCTAATTTTGTTGTCTTTCTTTTGGTTCTGTGAGGAGGCAAAGTATACCCTATTTTTCGGGCCATAAAACACACCTAGGTTTTAGGGGAAAATCAGAAAAAAATTTTGAAGCAAAAAATGTGGTAAAATATTTAATAACATAAATAACACAATATTTCACCAATGTAAATGTCAACAGAACTCAACAGCAGCATTAACAACCATTATTCCTCCCAAATGGGGGGGGGGTGCGTCTTATAGTACGAAAAATATAGTACTTACCTATGCCTCCATCTTGGCTGGAAGTCTGCTTTTTTGAATGTTTAAACATTTCTACAATAAAGTTAAAAAAATAAAGCAATGTTACCCAGTGGAGATAATTAATTCATGAGTTAAATAATAACTCATTTGTGCTCATTAAATTCTGAATTAACATTCAACAGAAGTTTCTTGTGCTTCCGTTATGTGCCAAGCACTGAATTGGCTTTATTAGCTGCGGAGCTGAAACTTTTGCTCTGTGGCAGTGATCAGAATCTCAGGTGGAGAGGCCAGGGCATTTTACAATTGGCTCAGGAGATTCTCATATGCAGCCAATATGAATGAGGGACTTCCATGAGGGACCGATATATGACAGGACAAAAAGAGCACAGAGATAGACTGGGGTCCTGGTCACATTCTCACTTCCGATATCATATGATGTTGGGAACCTCATTTGTATGTTTGTCTTTCAAGATAGATTTTTTTTTTTGAGGAAATGAAAAAATGGGACTCAATGACCTCAGAGTTTCTTTCCATTACTCCTTAGCCTCTTGGTCTCAACCAAAAGCTAAGTTCCTTTCAACTCCAAAATTCTATGATACAAGATATGTACAAGATATTTTATGGCAAGAAAAACAAAGTGGAGACTTTCTGGGAGGCCCTGAAATCAACACTGATTAGGCTGACTCTTCACCCTACACACCCACCCCTGTTACCAGTCAGCTTTCCATCAATCTCAGCATTAAGCCAACTTAACAGAAGATGATGGCGACAGCAAGGCCTGCTGCTGGCTGTAAAAGATGCATTAGTCCCTGTAATGGCCCATCTTCCCCAGAGCGCTTCCTCTATCTAGACATTTATGGGACTGTGAATCAAGGGTTGCCCAGGCAGGCAGAAAGGCCAGTACCAAGTGGATGACAGGTGTGTCGAGAGGGACCAGTCACCTCTGTGAAATGCTAGTTCTAGCAAGAAACTCAGCATGCTGAGAGGGCTCTGAGTTCCAACCAAGAAGAGGCCTCTGCAGACTAGGCACCCAGAGGCTGCAGAAGAAAAATGCCTGTATCCACTTTTCTGCCCTGGTCATTGTGTGGCACAAGAGGGGCACACATCCCAACTGTCCACTGGCCAACACTAATGCAGGAATGATTTTGAGTTCACCCTTTTGGACAAAGTGGAAGATTGTTAAGGGAAGAGATATTGGTAAGTATATATCATGAGAGACAAATTTGATTTTTCATGAGAGGTCTACTCCTGAAAACATTATATTAAAGTTGAATATATGAAAATAGAATTCTTCATTCTTTTTTAATTGAAGTGGCATCTAACAATTTCAACTTATAACAATTTCAATTTCTCTGCCTCTGAGTCTACTAGTTAGTAATATAGAAGCCAACATTCAGATCCATGGAAGCAAATCCTTTTGTAAAGAATTAGATTACACTATTTGATTATGACTTATGTCTTTTTAAATTTTTAAATATCTTTGGCAGGAGGCTTTGTAAAATCTTTATTCTTCCCTTAAGATTCAACTTGCAGTTGATACAAAGTCAGCCTCAGATGGGGACCCACAGGTCACTATTCCCATAATTATATTGGGAAGATGAGGCCGGGGGTACAAGAAGTGGCTCTGTGTTGAAAGGACACTGTATGCTCATCTACCAAAGGGAAAGCCAGTAAATAATGCTTAAAACCAAAAAACTAAGAAGTAGCAGTATTCCCAGAAATGAACCCATGCAATATACAGTCAATTAATTTGTAACAAAGGAGCCAAGAATATACAATGTGGAAAGGACAGTCTTTTTGATAAATGGTGCTGGGAAAATTGGACAGCCATATGTAAAAGGATGCAGTTGGACACTATTTTTCACCAAACACAAAATGAACTCAAAATGGATTAAAGATTTGAATGTAAGACCTGAATCATAAAGCTCCTGGAAGAAAACAGAGATGGTGAGCTCCTTGACATAGGTCTTGACAATGGTTTTTTGAATCTAGCAACAAAAGGAAAAATAAACAAGTGGAACTAAATTGAACTAAAGACAACCTACTGAATGGGAAAAAATAGCAAAAATGTAAAATCCAACTGAAAAATAGGCAGAATATCTGAGTTGATATTTTCCAAAGAAGACATGCAGATGTCCAACAGGTACATGAAAAGGTGCTCAACATCATTAATCATTAGGTAAATGCAAATCAGAGCCACAATGAGAGATGACCTTACACCTGTTAGAATGGCTATTATCAAGAAGACAAGAAATGACAGGTGTTAGTGAGGATGTGGAGAAAAGGGAGCCCTGTGCATTGTGGAATGAGCCCTTGTGAACATTAATTGGTGCAGTAGCTATGGAAAACAGTATGGAGGTTTCTCAAAACATTAAGAATAGAGATACCATGTGACCCAGCAATTCCTCTTCTGGGTATCTATACCCCCAAATTTGAAAACACATATTTATAAATATATATGCACCCCTATGTTTATTGCATCATCATTTACAATAGCCAAGACATGTAAACAACCTAAGTGTCCATTAATGGATGTTTGGATAAAAAAGACACAGTAAATGTGTATGATGGAATTATACTCAGACATAAAATTAATATTTTTATGAAATATTACAACTACCAATTACAATGAAGTATTACCATTTGCGACCACATGGATGGCTCTTGAGAGTATTATGCTAAGTGAAACAAGTCAGACAGAAAAGGACAAAAACCATATGACTTAGCTTATATGTGAGATATAAAACAAAAAGCAACAAATGAACAAACAAGCAAAAGCCAAACTCATAGATACAGTCAACAGAATGGTGGTTACCAGAGGGGAAGGGGGTTAGAGGGCAGAACCCAGAGGGTAAAGGGGGTCCAATACACGGTGAGTGAGGAAAGGAGACTAGACTTCAGATGGCCAGTGCACAATGGAGCATTCAGATGTTCCATTATAAAGATGTACACCTGAAATTTATATGGTGTTATTCACCAAAGTTACCCCAATAAATTTTTGAAAGATAATATTTATTTATATTTTTAGAGAGGGGAAAGGAGGGAGAAGGAGAGGGAGAGAAACATCAATGTGTGTTTGCTTCTCATGCATCCCAGCTGGGGACCTGACCCACAACCCCGGCATGTGGCCTGACTGGGAATTGAACTGGCGACCCCCTGCTTCATGGGCTGACACTCAATCCACTGAACCACACCAGCCAAGGCAAATTGTTTTTTAAATCAAGTTTCAAAATGGTATATATAGTATGATGTCATTTGCGCAATATGTAATGTTTTAAAAATATGTTCAAATGTATCTAACTTAAATATAATTTGAAATAAATGACAAATTATTTCTCACTGTAAAATGGAGACAAGTGTGGCCAGCCCTTCTGAGATGTTTTGTTGTGAAGGGAAAGAGACTGTAACAGCTGGAGGGGAAGCCTATAATTTTTTTAATGGACAACACTAGATTTTGGTTGCCTGCAGATGGGAATGAATTAGTAGAGACTTAAAATAAGAATATATGAAGAGCAAAATCCTTGAGAAGGTACAGCTTGGCCACAGAGTGCCAAAGAAAGATGCTACCGTGCTCAGGTGAGAAACAGTGGGTGTTTGGACTGTGGCAGCGGGATGAGGTGGAAGTGAAGTGGTAGGTACTCAGGAGGTGGCCCTTTGAAAAGCGATGCTACCTGGGTGTGTGGGTGAGTGAGCGACACTGAAGGGGGCTGGTTTGATTAAAAGGCAAGAAGAGAGGGCCTCAGGACAATGATGGACCCTGCCCCTTCTGAGGGTCATGGACCATGCTGTCGTCACTGCTAATGAACTTCTAATATGCTCTGGAGAGAGTCCCAACAACCCACCTTGTCTATGAATGGTAAATAAAGCGAACTCCACCACCAGCACCGCACACTACTCACTACACCGCATACAGCCTTCTCTGCTGAGCTGAAGCAGTGGTTTATTTTTGCCCTCAGCACCACTGCCCTGCATCCTGGATGTCAGTTAAGTCTGCACTTGGAAGAGCACACTGCCCTGGGCCTAGCCCTGCAATTACTGCTTTCTAGTTATGATCTTCGAGAGAGAGCATAGAACTCGGGCCTCTGTTTTCCACCTCTCAGGATGCTAATTGCGTTCAGGATATTGCTGTGAGAGAGCCTGGAAGGCCAGGGGTTAAGCCTTCTCCTGCAGACACCTATGGAATTTCTCCAGTTGGCCCCTCCCATCAAGAGCAATGGGGCCCCAGGTCTAGCTACTTCCACCCCACCTCTCTGTCACAACCACCCCTCTCCCCACACACGTGCTTGCTTTTTCTTCCTGCCTGCCTGGCTCCAAGTCTCCCACCAAGGTCTGTGGTCAGCCAGGCTCCCTGGTGGGGGTGGGGGCTCCGTGTGGGGCGCTGCTTTGCCTGCGTGCCTCCCCTGCAGACTTTGGACCCTTCACTGGCCTAAAGGAGCCTGGGGCAGGCAGTGTGCCCAACAACGCTGTCATGCGCAGAGTCGCAGGCGGTGGGTGACGGCCACCCCATCCCCAGGTGCTCACCTGTCTCGGGAGTCAGTGCGAGGCTCCAGGGTACACCATAGATGAGTTTGTCAGTTTGCAGGTCCGTGAGTCCAGTCGGCTGCTGAGCGCTGCTTTCTTCGTCTGCTTCTCTAGCTCCTAGTCCCTGGTGCCGTGCCCCTCAGTCCCTGTCCCCTTACCCTCCCTCGATAACCCCCTCCCACGCCAGTGGCCTGAGCCTCACTCCGCCCTCCTTGGCAACAGCCAACCGGCGCTGGCCGCTGGGCTCGGCTGCCAGCTTATAAAATCTGCCGGCCCTGCCCTGCCGAGCCTCTGCGCTCCTGCTGCCACTTGCAGCCCCTTGCTGGCAGGGCTACACGGATGGCCCTGACTGTACCTCTGAGCAGGCTTAGGGACATCTGCTTTCTGCTTCCAGAAAAGTTTGGAGAAAGTGAATTTGGGGTGGATTTGGGACTAGCATTGCCCCCCAAGCCTTCTTTTCCTTTGAGAAGTCTCACCCTGCGCAGCCTCATTCATTCTGCTCTTCCTGACACCCGGGTCCCTGATACCTTCCCTTCACTCTCTAGCTCTTTGGGATCATCATCTTCCTCACCTCATTCTCCCTCCTTCTCTCTAGCCCTGTCCTCAACTATTTCCACCTACTGGAGGCCTGTTCCCTGTCACCCTGCCTTTCTCCTTTTTCTCCACTAAACTTTGGTCCCCACTCCAGTTCATCCCTGAACTTCTCTTGGCCACCCACTCTCCATCTGCTCTCTCCCTCTTCCCTTCCCTCCCAGGAAATTTCCACCATGGATTCTGGACCTCATTGGGCTGCCAACCCCATCCCCGGGGCCACCCTCTCTGCCCCCAACACCACCACACCCTGGCTGGGCCGGGATGAGGAGCTGGCCAAGGTGGAGATCACAGTCCTGGCCACTGTCCTGCTGCTGACGACAGGGGGCAACCTGACTGTGCTGCTGACACTGGGCCAGCAGGGCCGCAAGTGTGCCCGCATGCACCTGTTTGTGCTGCACCTGGCTCTGACGGACCTGGCTGTGGCACTCTTCCAGGTGCTGCCCCAGCTGCTGTGGGACATCACCTACCGCTTCCAGGGCCCAGACCCTCTCTGCCGGGCTGTCAAGTACCTGCAGGCACTCAGCATGTTCGCCTCCACCTACATGCTGCTCGCCATGACACTGGACCGCTACCTGGCTGTGTGCCACCCGCTGAGGAGCCTCCAGCAGCCCAGCCAGTCTACCTATCCACTCATCGCCGCCCCCTGGCTGTTGGCCGCCATCCTCAGCCTCCCTCAACTCTTCATTTTTTCTCTGCGGGAAGTGATCCAGGGTTCAGGGGTGTTGGACTGCTGGGCAGACTTTCGCTTCCCTTGGGGGTCACGGGCCTACATCACCTGGACTGCCTTGGCCATCTTCATCCTTCCTGTGGCCATGCTCACAGCCTGCTACAGCCTCATTTGCTACGAGATCTGTAAGAACCTAAAAGTCAAGACACAGACCTGGAGGGTAGAAGGAGGGGGCTGGAAGATTTGGGACAAGGCCTCGCCTCCCACCCCAGCTGCAGACACGAGGGGACTGCCGTCCCGGGTCAGCAGTATCAGCACGATCTCAAGGGCCAAGATCCGAACTGTGAAGATGACCTTCATCATTGTGCTGGCCTACATCATCTGCTGGGCACCCTTTTTCAGTGTCCAGATGTGGACTGTGTGGGACAGGAACGCCCCTGATGAAGGCAAGTGTGTGTGGTGGGGATGGGGGGTGGAGCGAGTGGAAAAGAGCAGGAAGGGAGAACAGGAGGATGAGGAAAGGGCTACAGTGCCTCCCAGTGTGCCCTTTCCTGCCTGTCTGCTGTGCCCATCCCCATGATCAGCCTGTCCCACAACCCCATGTCCCTCACCTATGTAGAATGACTTACCACTCACCATGGGCCTCTCTGAGCAAGGCATGCAGGAACAGAGTGCTCCCTTAGAGAAATGGAAGCCCTTTGGGGCCCTTTTAACTTGCTCTCCAGTACACCCTGGTCTCCTCCACAGCACACTGGCCTCCTGGCTTCCCATTCCTGAGTGCCTGTGTTAGAGCTTGCTGTCTCTTTCCCCCTGCCCCCGACTGTCAGCTGAGTTTCTGCCAGGACACAGCAGGTGTCTACGACAGAATGAGTGGGACCGCCCCAGAGGGGTCGAGGAGGGCAGAATCCAGAAGCCAATGTGCACCCATATGTATGACATAAATGGGGATGGGGATACCCAAACGTGGCCTAGAGTCATGGCTATTTTGTCAGTTTTATAGAAGTTGCCTTACCCTAGGTCTACATTCATTAGAAAATTCAAGGTCTAGGCGTGGGACAAAGACAGCGTCTCCCACTTGGGCCAGTCCTGTCTACCTGTAAAGTCATCTTGGAGCAAACCCTGTAGTTACAAAAAAAAATCAGCAAGTTAAGACTCTGGAGTTGGGAGTCCCGGGTTCAAGTCTTAGCTGTGCTTCTCCCTAATGGGGGAACCCAAGTCAGCCCCTTCATCTCTCTAGGACTCAGTTTTCTCCTCTGTTCGATGGAAACCCGGATTCCCTCTCAGGTCCCTTCCAGCTGTCATTCTAAGGCTCCCCATGCTTCTCTCTTGGCAGATTCAACCAATGTGGTTTTCACCATTACCATGCTTTTGGGCAACCTCAGCAGCTGCTGCAACCCTTGGATCTACATGGGCTTCAACAGGCACCTGTGGCCGCACACCCTACGCCACCTGGCCTGCTGTGGGGGCCCGCAGCCCCGGATGCGCAGGCAGCTCTCCAATGGCAGCTTCTCCAGCCGCCGCACCACACTGCTATTGACCCGCTCCAGCTGCCCGCCCACCCACAGCCTCAGCCCCAGCCTCAGTGGGAGGCCTGGGCCTGAAGAGTCACCAAAGGACTCAGAGTGGGTGGACAGGGAAGGTGTCACTGAGGCAGGCATCTTTTAGGGAACATTCCTTGGAGTCTGATGCTGCCTGTGGGGCTGTAGGAGGGTCTCAGTTCATCTCAGCACTGGCTGCAAATTCTGGGAAGGTCTGGGCTGGAATTATGGGGGCCCAGTTTAGACAGTGTGAAAAGGCCAGAATGGCCACACTTGGCGTCTGGCCTGCCTGCATTCGCTCCCCATCTCTCATGCTGGGAGTCAGGGATAAAGAGACTATCCACTCCCTTGATCCTGCCGTAGTCACAGGGTGTCTGGGAACACACCCACGTGGCAGATGTGGTGCCCCAGATCTGGGGCAGGACTAGGTCAGCCCTGTCTGGGGCTCCACATGTGGCAACTCAGAGGCTGATCTCTGACCTTGACTATGTGTCCCCAGCCTAACCTAACTAAGCACAGTCAGCCCAACCAGGAGAGGACAGAAGTGAAAAACCGAGAAGGACCCTACTTGGATCCTGGATTTTTTTATTTTTCATTTTATTTTTTTGGTAGAGGGAGGATCGTTTAATGAAGAAAAGTGAATGGGTCAGGGGGCTCCGCCCACTATGCCCTTGTGTTTACTGGAGAGAGATATAGTATTTAGCACAATGCCAGGTAATGAGCATTAACTCAAGATGTAGTATTTAGTACAGCACCAGGTAACCAGCATTCACTCTGCAAATTCAAGTTTCTCTTCTCCCCACACCACACCCTTTTTTAGGGTGGGGACAGAGTGTTGTATATTTTCAGTGGTCTGGCCCGCTGAGGGTGAGGGGAGGGACGGAGGGGAAGAAAAGGGCTGCAGTAAAATTTAGAATGGAGGAGGACTCGGAGGCAGCAGGGCAGGTTGCTCCCACTCGCCCTGCAAGGTGTCCAGACAGCTCCTTCCCCTGGGGCTGCACAGAACACACAACACGTCTCTCAAGAAGTGTGATGGGGTCATGGCTCTGGATTTACTTGAGGCTCTTCGGAGCTTTTACACAAACTGTGCACACACTGTGCTCAAGTCAGGAGCCTGGGATGTAACACTCGCCTCTGCCTGCAGGTAACTGTACGATCGTGGGCCAGCCACCCTGTCTCTGGGCCTCCGTCGCCTCACTTGTGGAACGAAGATGCACTCTAAGGTCTTTTTCAGCTCCGATCTTTCATGACTTTGCAAGACTGGAAATGATATCACGACAGAGATACACAAAGGGTGCTCTAACCGACAGGCTCCAGAAGAATCGTTGGATTTTCATGACAATGACCTTTACACTTTTTGACTGAATTCTGGTGACTGAGGGTCCTTCCATGGCCATACTGTGCATTTTCGCCCTCAATTCTGTGATGCTGATGTGGGGAGCGACAGGCAGTATCTGGTGCTTTGCCCTGAATTATCTCCAGGGGATCTAATTCACCTGAATTCTGATTCTAATCTCAGAGATGACCTTGATGGTGGGAAAAGCATCACTAAAAAGTCAGGAACTGGGTCCCGGTCTCATCACCATGTCAGCACTGATGACCAGCATAGGTGAAATGCTTGCCCTCAGAGTTGTGAGGATCAGACAGGACTGCGGATGCACAGGCTGTTCGGAAATCCGTGAGCTCTGGACTCTGCAGGAGGCTGTTAATCTAACTAGGAGCTCCTGGGAGCAGTTCCAGGAAACAGGTTCGATCTGTCCTCCTCTCCCAGGGAGGCTTTGAGAAATGACTCTGACTTTGAGGATACGCTTTCAAGAGGCCACTGAGCTCTCAGACGCCTCCTTAGGTTTCTTTAAAAGAAAAGAACTAAGCTGAGTGCCATGAGTGAACCAAGCATTCCAGCCCTTCAGTGCTAGAGAACTGGAGGGCGGGGCCCGGGGCCCAGTGGGACCAAGGCTCAAGGGAAAGGACCCACAGTCTCTTCCCAGTGCTCTGTTGCCCACGTGAGTCCCTGGTATCCAACCACTTCTTCCCTGTCCACCTGCCCTGGTGGATTGAGGCGTAGGTGCTTCCCATGCCAGCCTGAGCTGTTGAAGTTGCTCCTGCTTACATGAGCCGCTCCAGACCACAGTTCCTGACCCTAGTGCCCACAGTAGGTACTAAGTAAATCTTTGCTCATCATGATGGATGGGAAATAGAAGGAACACCAGTCTTGTACCTCAAAGATATGGGTTTGAGCCCCAGTCTCACCCCTTTTCTACCTGTGTGAACCTGGGCAAGTTATCCAATCTGCCTGAGCAACAGTTTCCTTATTTGTTAAAAAGGAATAACAGTGCCACCTTGTTGGAGGGACTTGGAAGACTGTAGACAATAGAATATCCTACTGATGTTAGAGAAGATAATGCTAGCCTGGCTTTGGGCTGCATCTGATGGGTAATTTCTAGGGCACTGGGTCCAGGAGACTCTATAGTTCAGAGGGGAAGGGGGGAGACATGGAATCAAGGCTGGCCAGAGCACCTTCTATGTCTATCTACTCTTGCCTTCTGTAGCAAATAATACCACTACTATATTTCCAGTTTTGCATTGCACACTAGGGATTTACCTGAGGTGGTGGCTGGGGCCCACACTCCTCCTCCCATAGAAAGGCTGCATTTGATCTTTTTCAGAAAGCTGGGGCTGTCCAATGATGAGGCCAGTGAGGAACAGCTGGACACTGGGCAGGGGCCTCAGGAGCCTATCCCAGATGGCTCTGAGGAAATGGCAGGGTCTCGTCTGGATCTACAAATGACAGCTTTTGCAGTGTGTGTAAGAAGTTCTCACAGGCCTTTTGGGAAAGGGTTCGGGGAGGTGGGCCTCTGTGGGAAGCAAGGGGTCCTGTGCTCTCTGGGTCAATCTCACTTTGACAGCTGGCTTCAGAAGGCCAACTCTCTGTGAAATACAGTACTTCAGTCCCTTGGAACCCACATAGCAGTGGGGGGGGGGGGAGGGGCCAGGCAGGGCAGAGCATGGCTGGAAAAGGTTAATTGGTTGAGTGTGGGGACTTCTCAGAATGGCTCTTTTTTGTTGTCCAGTATAGGCCAGTACCTTTCCAGGTGACTCTGTTTGTGCCTTTTATGTAAATAGGTCTTTTAATAGGCTATAGACTCAGCCCAGGCTGCAGCACCTCACTACTGGGTCAGGAGCCCATGATGTGGTTGCAACTGATTAATAAAACTCCTTAACAAACAGGACATTTCTAGGCATCTTTGTTTCCTAGGGACAATTGTAATGGCATAGGCAAACTAAAGTAAAATTTTAGCAGAGCAGGGGTGGTGATCCATCTTCCTAGAACCCCTTCACCCAGTTTAAGAGGGAAAAAAATAAAAGAGAGCATTCTGCGATTTTCCCTGGAGCCACACAGTGGCAGTGTGGAGCTGAAAGTGGGTCTGAAGCAGTAATGACTCCAGGGGCAGGCTGGGAAAGTCACCAGCCTCCCAGCTCTAAGGCCATAGTAACTTTCCCTCAAGTTCTAGAGCCTTGGTCTCTCATTTGACCCAGTTCTTCTGAGATACCTGGGTACAGGCTTCTTTCTCACTAAGCCCACAGAGGACGTATTTGGCAAGGAAGGGCAAAGAACAAGAGGTTTCTACTGCAGGTAAAAGACTAAATGTAGAAATTCCTGCCTGAAAGGGTGAAAGTTTGAGGGAGCTAGTGGCACCTCAGAAACAGAAAACAAAACTAAAAACCCCAGATAAGATGGAGTTATTGTAGTGTGTTTGGTTTAGAGGCTGGGCACTTGGGTTAGAAGGCCTCTTGCAAACCCCTCTAGACCCAGGAATCTGTCCTGATCCCAGGAGCAAAATGCCCCCGATGCTGGGCATAAAATGCCTCTTCATCCACGTGGGTCTTGTTGGCCAATAGGACAGTGACCCTTGTAGAATTCTGCTGACCTTTTATGGTGAGCATTTGGGTGCCTGCTTCTTTAGAATCAGAATTCATTGAAGACAAGTCAAATTCATTCTGCTCCACTGTATAATCCTAGTTCATTATTATCATTAAATCAACCAGCAACTGGTTGTCAGTAGCAAATCAGTTTCTCTGTCCCTTGTTATAAGATAGTTCTGGAAAAGTGTTCATCCAGTTCCCACCCACAGAGGGACCCAGTGTGGGGCAGCACGGTTGTTCCCTGGAGGTTCCGATGACATACAACATGGGAGAAAGTGACTTCTCCCTACCAGAAGGAACGCTCCTCGAAGGGTGATTGCTCATACAAGTGACCTTTCAGACAGATTTAAGCAGATAACCTTCCAAACTCACAGTAGTATCACAAGCAAAAGGTCATTTTATTTCTAGAAGTATGGCTAGCAATGACTTTAGGGAGCAGTTCAAATTGTTAGCTGGCTCCAGTCACCAGCTTATTGGCCCACACCCCTTAGGACAGGAAACGAGCCCTTCGCTCTGTTCGACAGTCAGTCAAACCTCTGTAAGTTGCTTGGAGTCCCAGTTTCTACTCAATTCTTAAACAAGGCTCTCCAGGAATGCCTTCCCTTTATAAGCAATCAGGGCAGGTGCTATTGTTAACCTCCATGACATACTTATTTGCTATAAAATGTCATACCTTTGAAGCCAATCATAGCAGAGTTCCTTAGAGACCTTACAGATGGTTGGTGACACTCAGGTCTCTGTCCCCTCCAACAGCAACTGCTGGACGCAGGGTATCTCCACTGTCTCTGGGTCTGGCACAGACCCTTCTGCACGCTGTTCAGGGAGCCTGCGTCCAGTCAGGCCCGCTCCCTTTTCTTCTGCCTCTTCTCCCACCAACAGATGTCTACCCTTCTCCCTAAACTAAGGTCAGAAAACATGTCTTTCTGGGGTGTTTTCTCGGATTAAGTCCACCTACTTCCAACACTCTTGTACCCAGTTGGCCTAACATTGACAGGCTCTGGTTTCACTGCTCTGTGCTAATTCCCCTCTGTCACATGTTCTTGCCTGTGTCCACAACTAGGTCTTGCATGCTTTGACCCCGCCCGCCCAGCTGCTCCAGCCTTCTGTTTATGCGTGCCCCTCCCCACTCCCACAGCCTACCCAGAATTCTGCAGGACTGGGTGCTCTACTGCGCTCAGCTGCAGCCAACCCCTCTCCTAGTGGGGAGCTGTCTTGGCAGGGTCCCTGTGCAGTTTCTTGGGTGTGCTGTGATGTGTCGGAACCTCTACAGTCCTCTGCTTATTTTTTTCTTTTTAAAAGAGATAAAAAAGAAGTAGAGTTTCACTGCTGGATGCAAATACAGTGTTGTTGTCTGTGTTTAGTCCTCATTCTACCTCTCTGGTCAATAGAATCTGTTTTTCCCCATTCCAAAAGTTTCTGAGGAGATGTCTTAGCCCATGAGGTAAATACCATAACAAATACCACAGACCGAGTGGTTTACAAACAACAGAAGTTTGTTTCTCACAGTTTTGGAGGCAAAATCAGGGTTTCAGCATGGTTAGTGAGGGTCTTCCCCCAGGCTTCAGACTTCTCCTGGCATCCTCACTGGATGGGAGGGGCTGCGGACCTCTGTGCATCTCTCTCATAGGCACTGATCTCACTCATAAGGCCACCACCCTCATGACCTAATCACCTCCCAAAGGCCCCACCTCCTATTGCTGTCTCGTCAATGGGGTTAGGATTTCAACATATGAATTGCGAGGGTGGGAGGCACACAAAAATTCAAATCTAGCAGGAAAAGAACAACCATGGCAGGCCAAAGGTAGAGGGACATGTAGATTAGCAATAATTTCCAGTCCCAGAACCATTTTTCAGATCTTCTTGAGGAAGGGGAACCTGGGAATATGAAATCCTCCCACTGTTCCCAGTACCAGTCTAGAAAGTCATTTATAGCCAGCAGATGGAGCAAGTTCATGAATTGTCTCTAAGACCTGAATGCCACTGGACAGGGGGTTGCATTTGGCAGAGTAAACCTAGGGTTTCCACATTTTGAGGTACTTAGCTAAAGTGGGCAACTTTTTTTTCATTTTCTGTCTTAATTAGCTGTTGAAGAAAGTATATTGTATGTTTCTCTAGTCACTGCTTACTGCACGTGAGCAATTTGCAAACATTTTAAGTTAATTCCCTGAAGTTTTCTAGAACTAAGATATCTGCAAACAATGACAAATTTCATCCTCCTTTCCAATAATTATGGCCCTTATTTTTGTTAAATGTTTTATTGAACTGCTTAGAACTCCTACAGCACTATCAGATGGTGAAGGAAATGGGTGTGTGGACACTCTTACTTTGCTCATTATCTGAAAGGACCATGTTTAGGACCTTACAGTTAAATAGCGTGCATCTGCTGATTTGAGGTACACTATTCCTAATCAATTTAACAAAGTGTCCTTTTGTCCCTAATTGGTTAAAAGAGAAACAACAAACCAGGAATAGATGTTGAATTTTATTGGATTAAACTTGGAAAGATTTTTCTTGTAATAACAGATTGTGATGCTGGTCGGTGTTTACCAGACTCTATTAGCCAGCTCTTGTTCACGAGAAACAGCAAATCCGAAAGCCGAGTGACAGTGGGCTTTCCAAGCTAGTGGGACCGTTTAAAGTTCTGAGGGCAAAGCAGGTTCCTCAGCAGACACAGGCCGGGTTGGGCAAGAGGAAAAGAGAAACCAATGATTACTATGTTATTTAAAACTTTTAAGGAAGTTATTTATTGCCGATAATCAGAGAGCTCAAAGAGTAATTTAATTGTAAGATTGCCAAACAGGACTCTACTATAGCTGATTAAAATATTTTTTAAAAAATTTCTATGGAGATGTCACCATTTTATCTACTAATATGTTCTGATGTTTTCATACTTATCCCTGAGTTCTTTCTAACATTTCATCCAAATCTTTCTTGCTGACATGCAAACCTATTTTTTTCCTATGCCTTGTTAAAAAACAAAAAGTAAACCTCCTACAAATTGAGTACAAGAATTTGTAGAGAACTTTACTCCATTTAAAAACAAAACAAAAGAAAACCCTAGTTCTGGCCAGTGGCTCAGTTGTTTAGAACATCGTCACACACAGCAAAAGGCTGTGGGCTAGATCCCCGATCAGGGTGCGTGTGGGAGCAGCCGATCAGCACTTCCCTCTCACATCAACGTCAGTGTCTCTCTCTCTCTCTCTCCACCTCCTTTCTTTCTCTCTAAAATCAATAAATGTCAATAAACATACCCTCAGGTAAGAGTTTTTTTAAAGCCTAGAATTTACAAGGCTACCACAGAGTACTCCCCTGGCTCGGAGACAGCAGGGTTCACAGGTCTCTAGAAATTGTGCTTGTGACTTCTTGGGTCGACATTGACATAATCCGTTGTTTCCTTTATGTTCTCATAATCCAGTGCAGATTTGTTTTTTCGCCCTCCAGTGGCTGAAAAGACTACTTGTGTGTAATTCACATCCTTGGTGGTCTTATGGAAAAAGAGCAGAGAAGTGTAGATCAAGATTCCTACCCTGTTTGGAGGAGGTAGGACCCCAGGACTGAACTCTCATCCAAAGAGGCTTGCCCTAGGCTGGATGAGAAAGAACCTGGGCCCCAGGCAGCCATGTCTGAGAGCAGAGCCAGGGCAGGGGCAAGATTGCCAGTGACTTTGTTCCTCCTGTCCTCAGGAGATGCATGGGTTTAAGGAAGAAAGATGTAGAGAATCAATTCAATGAGCTCAGGACTCAGAGTAGTGGCTCAGTGACCAGGGTTTGGGGGGAAGGAGGCTTCCCATTAGCATTTCCATTTTTACAGGCCACTCAAACCCACTTTGGATGATCCATGTAGATATGGGACTGCGAGGAAAGCCTAACCACCCTCACCTGAGGATGCTGCAGTGACGCAAGAAGCCCCTTGTCCCTTGCTCCCATCCAGGAACCCAGGATGACCTGAGTTCCCAGACCCTGGGGCTGCACGTGAAGGTCTGGGATCACTAGGGGTGTCCATTACCTGGCAGGTGGGAGTCGAGCTGCTGGAGCTGTCGGAGGTGTCAGAGCTATCTGAGGACGTGTCACCGTCATCTAGAAAGGAATAGAAACTGTTCTAAAGAAAGCTGAAGGGTGTTAGGAAAGAATAGAGATGATGGAAGGGAGGATGAGACAAAGAGAGAGGTAAAGTCAACAATGCAAAGAGGAGTGGGGAAGAGAGATGCAGAACTCCCAAACAGGGAAGAAGGAGCAGAATAGAGAGGGTGGTGGGAGAGCCACCAAAAACAGGCAGGGTCATGGCCAAGGGTATAGGCACTGCTGCTCTGTCCGGCTCCATCTAAAACTAACTAGGCTTGCCTATGCTTGGGTGGAAGAAACAAGGACATGCTGAGACAATGTGGCCCAAAGCAAACTGTTCTGGTCTCAGAAGTCATGGGCACAGGATCTAGCCTAACCTGTCACTAACTCTAGGCAGGTTACATCATTTTCTGTTTCCTGGTTTTGTCTCCTGGACAACAAGAAGATTGGATGATGATCTCTGAGCCCCCTGACAAGAAAAGAGTCTTTGACTCTGTCCAGGCTCTGGTGCAGCTTTGGGGTCAGGGGTCATGATGAGGGCAGTGCCTCTCCCATTCTGCTGAAACACTGAATGCTTCTGAGTAGCATCTTCTGGTCCCCATATGCCCTGAGGCCTCATCTCAGTGCTGAGGGAGCCTGACAATCAGATCTCTCCAACTCAAAAGATCAAATTAGAAGGATGGAGCAAGCCCAAATCAATCAAGAGATAAACCAATGGAAAAAGTATAATCTCTGGTGAGCGCACCTCTGGGGGTAATTGTCTTGCTGCAGAAAAAACAATTTCCACTGTGTGAATAGTGACCTGGCAGGTCTCTCAAGCCCTGAGATAGAAAACAAGAGGGTAGTGAGCCTGTTGGTCCACTTGCCACAGGCAGACATACATTTGAACCATTGCCAACACTTAAATTTATTAAAACACCCACATACACATGAGGATCTAAGACTGTACAGAAGGGGCCTCTGGGAATATGGTTGAGTCAGCTTCTGGGACCAGCCAATGACACTGACCAGCTGCCATGATGCTAGGATGTTACCAGCCATGGCTAGAGTTAGGCAGTCAGTCAAGATCTTGGCCCCACCACTAACTGGCCAGGTGAAAGAAAAGATGCCTTAGTGTTACAAAGGCAGGAGAAGAAACAGCCCCCAAGCCCCTTCTGCAGTTGCTCACATGTGGCCAAACCTAGGAAAGAGCTTAGACCCACACAAGTCCAACAAAGTCTGTCCCACGTGACAGGATGGACAGCTTTCTAGAAAAGGCTGGGGGGCGAGGCCTTTGATAGGCTGGGGGTGAGGAACCTGGGGTGGGTTTGGGCTGCTGCAGGGAGGCTCTCTAGGGGTCCAGACAGAGCGGAATACACTTTGTGACCATTTCGCCTGCGCCCCACTACTCACTTCCGCAATGGGGCTCAGACACTTGGGTGCTTCTCTCTGCCCGAGTCTCCATCTTCTGGGCAGCAGGTGAGTGGTGCTGGGCTGCAGGTGAGTGGTGCTGGGCAGCGGGTGAGTGGTGCTGCGCAGGGCTGGGCCTGGGGTCCTGGAGCCTGGCTCTCTTTAGTAACTGTTCATTCTTTTTGGCTGGAGGAAACAGGGCAAGAGCAAAAGGGAAAGCTTCCTAGGTCAGGCACACCCCATTTCTGAACATAACACTCATTAGAGAAAAACGTTCAGAAGGATCTTTTCAAATCTCAGCACTCCTCTGCTGCCACACCCCTCACCTCACTTGGAGAAAAAACCCAGAGCCCCAACCTTGAAGACCCTCCATAGCCTCACTCCTTCCTCTCTGGCCTTACCTCCTTCTCTCATGCCCGCTCCTCCACTCCCACCACCCCAGCCTCTTTGCTGCTGCTGAAATGGGCCAAACCCTCACCTGTCTCAGGGCCTTTGCAGGTGTAGCTCACTTCCTCACTCCCCTCAAGTTTATACTCAAATGTCAGCATCTCAGGGAAGCTAACCACCATTCCATCCATATAGCATTGCCTTGCTTGCTTTACTCCCTAGCACTTACGGTCATCTAACCCATGTATTTTATGTGTTATTTTATGTGTTGTCTATACCCTCATGGAATGTAGGTTACTGAAGGGCAGGGAGTTCTGTTGTGTTCCCTGCTGTACTGAATGAATGAGAAAAGCCTAAAAGTCCTTTACTGGAAAAAACCTTCAGAACATTATCCTGTCCAATCTCCTCTCTTAGCCAAAGAAATATTTTATTTTCCTATTTGTGATGTCTTCCCAAGACACAACTTCTCCACTTTCCATTGCAAAGCAGGTCAAGGGTTTAAGATGATCTCTTAGTCTAACCATATTCTCTTCTGTTGCAATTCAAAGCCATTAATTCATGCTCAGTCTGTTCATGGTGCTGAAGAAAATTAATTAGGCCCAGGTTAAATGAGGCCACCCTCACAAGCATTATAGAAGTTTGTCTCTGTGCAGAAGGTCTGGGTAGTGGAAGGACTTTGGGCTGTCATTCCCAACCAGAAATATGTTGGGTAAGTGTGGGGATTACATGGTGAGGGGCCATCTAGCCAGTGGATCCTCACGGTTTCCAAGTGATGTTCAGAGACTCCAAAGGGAGCTGGTCCTGCTACAAGCTTGGGAATGGTCCCTGAGAATAACTAGGAGGGGAAAGGATGCTGAACCAGTTACCCAGGTGCCTGCTGAGCAGGTAGTTGATGGCTGCAAGGAAGCAGGCCTGCAGGACAAAGGACACGATTGCAATCACTAAGCCATGCCAGAGCTTCATGTCTCTGTTGGGAAAGGAATGGAGTCAGAGTTAGAAGTTACAGAGATGCTGCTACAGCTGCAAACCCATCTCTGCCCTGAGCCAGAGGTGGCCATCTGGTGTTGCTGTGATTCTTGAGGCAGATCCCTTAGCCTCTCTGGACAGTAAGGCATGAGAAACCAAGGGAAGGTGGTATGCATGCTTGGAAGTCAGCTATATGAGTTAGCCTGGTGGAAACCTCACTCACTCTGTCAGCATGATGAACTTCTTGCAGGGCAGCCAAGGGTTGTGAATGGGGCTCAACTCTTCCTGGGGCAGCAGGGAGAGACTTGAGAGGAACCACCCTGGGCACAGCACCTCGTTTCCAAGTAGTAGCACTAGCAGGGCCACCCAGACCTGCAGGAGGCAAGGCAGCTGGTCAGAACTCCTGGCCTCACAGCTAGTTCTCCTGGGGCAAGTTCAGCTGCTCAGGGGTCATTTGCTTTTCTGTCACCAATTGTCAGCTTTTGAATCTATAAAATAAGCAGCAGCATCCATTGCTGAGACCCTGGCACACCCACCACCCTATCCAATTTACACACTCTTGTGGCCTGGCTATTGTTCCCCTCCTTATTTAGTGAACATAGTGAGGCTTAAAGATCTGAGGGACATGACTGAGGTTTTACAACTGGCAAGAGGCTGGGCCTGGATTTGTGCTCCAAGTCAGTGCCTACATGCCCGGCCATCCTCTCTCCCCCACAAGAGCCTTCACCTGCTGCTTGAAGTACAAACAGGTACAACTAGAGTGAATACATTGGGAGAGAGTCTTTGAACAAATCCAAACCTCAAATACACACACGTGCACACACACACCCTATGTGGCTTCACTGGACTCTGGGAACAAGCCTGTGGCTGCTGTTACAGCCCTACAAACACATTTAATTAAAAAATAATCATAAATTCCAACAACATGTGCTGAACATGACTTTACTCTAAGACAAAGGGGATAATTCAAAGCTTTTGAAATGATATTTACAGAGCACAGAGGTGGATCCCACTGTCCTGAAACAGACTGTGAATCCTTTTTTAAGTATTTTTTTGATTATGCTATTACAGTTTTCCCAATCTTTCTCCCTTTATCCCTGCTCTGCCCTGCATCCCCCAACCCTTCAGCATTCTCCTCCCCCTTAGTTTGTGTCCATGAATTGTACATATAAGTTCTTTGAGTCCTCTGTTTCCTATGCCATTTTTATCTCTCCCTGTCTATTTTATGTCTATTAATTATGCTTCTTCTTCCCTGTACATTTCCCCCTCTTCCTCCCTTTCCCCTCCCCACTGAACTCCCTCTGTGTGAGGTCCATTTCTCCGATTCTGTTCTTGTTCTAGTTGTTTGTTTAGTTTTTGTTTTCATTGTGTTTCTTTTCTTTTAGGTTCATTTGTTGATAGTTGTGAGTTATAATTTTATTATTCATATTTTTATCTTCTCTTCCTCAGATAAGTCCCTTTAACATTTCATATAATAATGGCTTGGTGATGATGAACTCCTTTAACTTGGCCTTTTCGGGAAAGCACTTTATCTGCCCTTTTATTCTAAATGAAAGCTTTTCTGGGGCTTGAAACTTAAGATGGTGGCGAAACAGGAGGAACAGAGCCCTCTTCCCCTCTGCACATGGGTGAAACACCTAGTCGATCTACTGAGAAACCAAGTGAACATCCAAGAGTACCCCAGCATATATGAAGATAGGAGACCAAAAATTGTAGAGGACATTGAAAAACAAGATGAGTAAGTAGAAGCTGTGAACACCAGGATACCAGCTGGAAGAGGAAACCCACCAACAAAGGAACCACCAACAGATAACAACAGAAGAAGGTAAAGGAGGGAGTAGAAGCCACACTAATTCAACCCAGGACCTATCTGAAAATACAATTAAATAGTGGAGAAATTACCCAGAACAAATAACTGAACAAGAGCAAGAGAGAATCCTCAAAACCTTGTACACACAGAAGAGCCAGCTTCAACACAGTCTGCCCAGACCTGCACAACAGAATACAAGAGGTGGTGGACAGAGTGATCCTCAGTTAACCAGCTAGTGGGAAGGGCCCACCAAAGAAAGACCCAACAACAATCAAAACCCAAAGTCGTGCACAGAGCCAACATAAATGACAGCCCGAGACCAGTGAGCTTGGGGGATCAAGGGGATGGCACCACTGAATGTCACAGGTATTCTACCATAGAGGTTAACACCATAAACCCAGGGAGTCAGAAAAGATAAATTTAAGAAGCAGAGGCTAACAATAAGAGTCTCACAAACAATGGGAAGACAAAGAAACAATGCCCAAATGAAAGGAAAGGAGGAAGTCTCAGAAAGAATGCTAAATGAAATAGAGGCAAGTCAACTCAGATATTGAGTTCAAAGTAATGGTTATCAGGAAGCTCAATGAGTTCACAGAGAACTGCCAGAAACTACAGGGAAACTACAATGAAATAACTGCAAACTATATCAACACAAAAAAGGAAATAGAAACTATCAACAAGGGTCAACAGGAAATAAAGAATACAATTTCTGAACTGAAGAACACAGTAGAAGGAATCAAAAGCAGGCTTGATGAAGCCCAGGATTAGATCAGCAAGCTGGAGGACAAGGTAGAAAAAAACACCCAGAATGAGTGAGACAAGGAAAAGAGGCTCAGAAAGAATGAAGAGGGGTTAAGGGAAATGTAGAATAACATGAAACATAATAATGTCTGTATAATAGGGATACCAGAAGGAGAAAAAGAAGAGCAAGGGATAGAAAACCTGTTTGAAAACATAATGATGGAAAACGTCCCTAATTTGATGAGAGAAAAAGTCACACAAATCTGGGAAACACAGAGAGTCCCAATCAAGAGGAACCCAAAGAGGCCCACTTCAAGACACATCATAATTAAAATGGCAAAATTCCAAGAAAAGAGAGAATCTTAAAGGCAGCAAGGGAAAAACAGGAAGTAACATACAAGTAAGCCCTGATAAGTCTAGCTGCTGACTTCTCAATGGACATGCCACAAGCCAGAAGGAAATGGCAAGAAACATCTCAAGTAATGAAAACCAGAGGCCTGCAACCAAGACTACTTTATCCAGCAAGATTCTCAATTAAAATGGAAGGCCAAATAAGGAGCTCCCTGGACAAAAGAAGCCTCAAAGAATATACCTCCTCCAAACCAGCTCTACAGGAGATGCTAAAAGTTTTGCTTTAAGAACAGGAAGAAAAAGCGAAAGAGAAAGGAACACGGGCACAAAAAAAATGGCAATGAATAAGTACCTGTCGATAATAACCTTAAATGTAAATGGATTAAATGTCCCAATCAAAAGACACAGAATAGCAGAATGGATAAGAAAACATGACCCACACATATGCTGCCTACAAGATACCCACTTCAGAACAAAAGACCTACACAGACTGAAAGTGAAGGGCTAGAAACAAATTTTCCAAGCAAATGGACAGGAAAAAAGAGCTGGGGTAGCAATACTCATATCAGACAAAATAGACTTCAAAAAAGGAGCCATAAAAAGAGACCCAGAAGGTCACTTCATAATACTCAAGGGAAGAATCTATCAAGAAGACATAAACATAGTAAATATATATGCACCCAACATAGGAGCACCCAAATACATAAAGAAATCTTAGAGGACTTCAAGAAAGATATTGACAGCAACACAATTATAGTAGGGGATTTTAACACCCCACTGTCAAAATGGACAGATCTTCCAAACAAAATATCAACAAAGATATTGTGGCATTGAATAATGCCCTAAATGAAATGGACTTAACTAATATATATATAGCCCTTCATCCCAAAGAAGCTAAATACACATTCTTTTCAAATGCACATGTAACATTTTCAAAGATAAGCCACATGATAGGACAGAAAACAAGACTCAACAGATTCAAGAAAATTGAAATCATATCAAGCATTTTCTCTGACCCAAGGGACTGAAACTAGAAACCAACCTCAAGGAAAAAACCCAAAACACTCAAAATTATGGAGGTTGACTATCATGCTATTAAACAATGAATGGGTCAAGAATGAAATTAGGGAAGAAATCAAAAAGTTTCTGGAAACAAATGAAAACGAACTCACAACAACCCAAAACTTATGGGACACAGTCAAGGCAGTCCTGAAAGGGAAGTTCATAGCAATACAGGCCCACCTAAAAAAGTTAGAAACATTCTAAACAAACAACCTAACCCTACAAGAACTCAAGGAACAACAACAAAGACAGCCCAGAGCAAGCAGAAGGAAGGAAATAACCAAGATCAGAGCAGAATTAAATGACATAGAGACTAAAAGCACAATTCTAAGGATCAATGAATCCAAGAGCTGCTTCTTTGAAAAGATAACAAAATTGACAAGCCTTTAAGCAGACTCATCAAGAAAAAAAGAGAGAAGACCCAAATAAACACAATCAGGAATGAAAGAGGAGAGATTACAACAGATTCCACAGAAATACAAAGGATTGTAAGAAATTACTATGAAGAACTGTATGCCAAGAAATTTGAAAACCTGGGTGAAATGAACAAATTTCTAGAAAAATATAATCTTCCAAAACTCAATGAAAAAGAAGCAGAAAGCCTGAACAAACCAATAGCAGCAAAAGAAATTGAAGCAGTAATCAAAAAACTCCCAACACACAAAAGCCGTGGACCAGATGGTTTCACAGGAGAATTCTACAAAGCATTTAAGGAAGAGCTAACCCCTATCCTTCACAGACTATCCAAAAAATCCAAAAAGATGGGAGACTCCCAACTCTTTTTATGAGGCCAACATCATCCTAATCCCAAAACCAGATAAAGACACAACAAAGAAAGAAAACTTCAGGCCAATATCACTGATGAACATTGATGCTAAAATCCTCAACAAAACACTGGCAAACCACATCCAACAATACATTAAAAAGATCATACACCATGACCAAGTGGGATTCATTCCAGGGATGCAAGGATGATTCAATCTTCGGAAATCAGTAAATGTAATACATCACATAAACAAAAGCAAAGACAAAAACCACATGATAATATCAATAGATGCAGAAAAAGCATTTGATAAGGTACAACACCCATTTATGATAAAAACACTCAGCAAAGTGGGAATAGAGGGAGCATTCCTCAACATAATAAAGGCCATATATGAGAGACCTGCAGCCAGCATCATACTCAATGGAGAAACACTTAGAGCTTTTCCACTAAGATCAGGAACAAGACAAGGATGCCCACTTTCACCACTCCTATTCAACATAGTACTGGAAGTCCTAGCCACAGCGATCAGACAAGAAAAAGAAATAAAAGGCATCCAAATTGGAAAGAAGGAAACAAAACTGTCACTGTTTGCAGATGACATGATAGTGTACATAGAAAATTTTATAGACTCCACCGAAAAAC